GGGAATGGGGGAAAGGTTGTAGCCACCTTTTTCCCAGTTTTTAAATATTCAAAAATCTGTATCTCATTAACAATTCCTGTGTTTTTCATCAAACACAATATTTATGTATTGTTTGAAGGTGTGCATGGCGAAGTAATAACATATATGTTTAGCATGCGGTACACCACATAGGTAGTTCTGAAAAGAACTGTTGTAGTTGAGAAACTTTCTCAACTACAACAGTTCTTTTTAGAACTACCTATGTGGTGAACCGCAAGCTTAAACATATATGACAATATTTATGTCTTAGAAAAACTAGTTGTACAGTACAATGTATAGAAAAAAAATGTTTTCCTCCAGAGTTTGGCTTTAATACAGACTTGTCAATCTGAAGCAATATGTTTTTATTTTTCATATAATTTCTTCTGAGTGTACACTAAACCAAGATTCTATATTCCACAGGCCAGAAAGTAATTAAACAAGTTCTTAAATCAGTCATATTGTTGATATTCCAATCAAAACTTATGTAGTACAATACGGTGTTAAACAGTCAAGAAAATATTCTATAGCAGTATAACAAAATCAAACTAGATTTACGTGGACTAGTAGTAATGGAGATAAATTACAGTATCTAACATCATTTGTTTTGACAATATTGAGTATTACAAGAGTGCAAAAAGGGGGATGGCCAAGATCCCTCCATGGCGGTGTAAACTCCGACAGAGTTAGATGCAATCACACTGGACTTAAAAAAGGGAAGGTTTTACCGTGACCGTAGGTAACATACCACTGGGTAAATCTTACCGCTGTTCACACTTGGATTTTTTGAGATGATTAGTTTTACTGCGAGAAATGGTAAACCTGAGCCGTGAAAATCAACTATCGAGGGCACTAATCGAAGATATCTTCATAGTGTAGCGCTCAAAAGACTCGGAGGTTTAACTGAGACGCGTGTTCCACTGGACTTTTCAGCTCGGTAAAACCTGTTCAGCTTTCATGTTGTTCGAACTGGACTAATTATAGTAAAACTTAGCAGCATCTCGATTAGTTTTACCAAAAAAAGTCCAGTGTGAGTGTGGTTTTAGGCCGCAATTAAATTTTTTTTCTTTATTTTAATTATGTCTGTGTTTGTCTTTCATAGCTGTTTCTGCTTGTTTTGCCCTCTGGTACTAATGTACTAAATAAATAAAAATTGTAGATAAATGATGAAGTGAGGCATAACTTTGTTAAATTTATTAATATACAAGAGTAATACAACTGGTACAAAAAAAAAAAAATATTCAAAAAGTATTGTTGTGTGTATAGTAAATTCAATATTTTTGAATAATGTAAAAACAAAGCAAAATAACAATTATAAATGATTTTAACAGTTTATGCATTTTTCTATTTCACAATTGTAGGCCTACAGTAATTAATTAAAGTCACTATCCTTTAATATCTACATTCAATATAATTTATAAAGTTAAATTAGAGATTGGACAAACTGGTATATGCTTTTTTGTTTATAAGAACCAGTAAAATTTTGCCCAGGCCTAGTGTTTCTTTTTTTTGTTGCTAATGTTGTTCTTATATTTTACTCACTTTCAAAGATATAATTGTATAGCAATACATACTGTACTATATATACTGAAGTCTCACCTGCTGCACATACTGTAAGGTACAGACCGAAAGAAATTTACAGCACAACCTTTTAAACATTAATAATTTACTGTATGTAACTAATTTGATTTGTTGGTTTTTCTAGTTTGCTTTTTTTAAATAAAACCTCATTTGAGATAGTTTACCTCACCCTCAATTTGTTCTCATTTTTAAAGCATTTTCAGCTTCAGTTCTTATATAAAACGAAAGTGTACAGTACAGTGGCGGATCCAGGAATTTGAAATAGAGGGGGCGCAGGTAGGACTTTCCCAGATGGGGGTCTAGACTACCTCAGCCTCACCATGTTTGGGGCTGAGGCAAGAAAATTTATAATTTAAGGCACCTCTAGATGCCTAGAAATGGCACTCTCAGACTTAATTTTGAATATAACTTTTTTTCTCTAGTTTTTTCTTTATAATTTTGAAAAATTTATGGGCATCGGGGTAGCTCCCCCCCACCCAACCCTTGAATCTGCCACTGCAGTAGTAGGTAAATTTTTGGACAGATGGAGTGACAGGCATTAAATGCCAATCCAACCTTTATATTCAATGTAAATCAGAGATTGAGCATAGTTTGGTTCATAGTGTCACAGGATTTAAAACGCCAATCCATCCTTCTTCAAGTTGTTTAGAAAACCTAACAAAAACAACTTACAAATACACAATTACCATAGAGTCAAATCAGATGTAATACAACGACATACTGTGTCCAGCATGGAAGCAATGAAAAGGAGACAATCTACTTATCAGATCACTATTCACTTCATTGTCTTATTTTCTAAAGAACCGCTGCATCCATCAAATACAATGACAGGTACAATCGAATGAGAGATCTCCAACCATTTTTAATTCCATGGGCCTGATTAAAAAAAACAGACAACATACACAGACCTGCACGCACACCAACAGGAGGGGGTTCTACCCCCACAGTGTGAGAAGCTTTACTATACTAACATTACTAAACTGTGTAAGGATTAAACAGCAGGTACTGTTTAATTAAGTGGACATGAACAAATCCATAAGGTACAGGGTACCCACAATTAAATCATGTTAGTACAGTACTGAATTACATACTCTTCGCTAATTAGCATCATAAGTATAATTACTGTTAATGAGAACATAACATGACTCTAAGAGAGTGCCTGGAAGTACAATCTTGAATATACTAAGGTTTCTTTAAAAAAAAAAAAAAAAACAGAAAATATTTGTTATCACACTGTAAGAATTGACTGGTTTCATACAGACAAGTAAGATCACCATATGTGACAAAGACAAGCCAAATCCTGTTTCGGAGATAATGGCCAAAATACGCTGGAATGTCAACATTTTGGAAATCTATTTTATAGCACTAAACTAACCTTTATATATATA